AAAAATGGGCCCAGGTCTCCTGCTCCTCACCGGGCCAGCTCCTCCCCCCACTCCAGGTCTGTTCCTCTCCCCACCCCACCACCGTTGCCTGGGCCCGCTGCTCCTCCCCATGTTGGGAGGGAGCAGTGTGGGAGAGAGAAAGAGAGAGAGAGGGGGCAAGGCCAGCAGTGCTGGCCTCAGCCCCCCCGCTTCCATATTTATTGCCTGCAGGGCCCAAGGGGGGGGCAAGACCAGTGCTGCTGGACTTGCTCCCCGCTGCAGTGTCCTGACCCCACTCTCCCCCGCCCCCCATGCTGTGCCACCACACCTCCAAGAAGCAAAGGGGGGGCTCCTCTGATATCACCCCCCTCCATTCCATCCACTCTGTTTTGGCTGCCTCCAGGGAGCAGGGGAAGTGGGGAGAGCTGGCCTCACCCCTCCCCCAGTCCCCATGCCACCTTCATCATGGCAGGACTCTGCCACCTCCTGTCTGAATACTGTATTCGCAATCTGATTGGTTGTTTCCATCAGCCAATCAGAGTATGAACAAAGCATTATGGACAGACGGACAGACTATGGCTTTTATAATATTACAATTTTAGGGAGAATACGAATAAAGCATGTCTAGCATCAAGGAATAAAGAATTGTACCCCAGTCTCTCATGTGTCCCAGGCTAGCACACTAACCACTGGACTGTCCTTTATTATCATCATAGGTTTTAAATCACCAGCACTGATAACCTAACTCAGAACAAGCAACTCAGGAGAAAAAAAAAATGGCATCTCAAAGAGAAGTCCACTAAATCTCCCCATGATGACTCTTGCTTCCTCTCCAGAGTAAATTTATTATGGAATATGCTTTAAATAGTATTTTATGTTTTTATTCTTTCCGTTAGTGATTCATAGGTCATGCTGCGCTTTTTTTATTTTGCAAATGCCTTTCATTTTCAGATAAATAGGGCCGTGATCCAAAGCCCCATTAAAACGATGGAAAGGTTCCCTTAGAAAACAACGGGCTTTAGATTGGACACTGTGTTCCTTCACACACACACATTCAAATGACCTGGGAGAATTCTCCCAGGTTTGTTTTTATGGTAGAAAAGCTTACCCAGAGATGCCTGAATAGATATTCGAATGCCGAGCCCTTGAAGAGCAGAGACCTTGCAGTTCCAACGCTGTGTAGCTACGAGGCCCTGTGCACACATCTCAGCATACTCTGCAGACTTCCTCAGTCTGCCCACGGACTGATGGCAGCAGTGTACATGACAGCCCTGATTGGCTGACCCAGATTGCTTAGGGTCAGTCTATGCCTCCCTGCAGCACAATGTGGGGATTCTGAAGGAGGGGATTTTTTTCTCCTAAAGCAGCCATTTTTGCTTGGGGAGAAAAATCCTGAACATCTGTGCCCTTGCCGCTTTCCCAGGAGAAACTACAGCACTACAGAGAAAAACTAAATGTCTGTACATGGTCCTACCCTGCTCACCTGGAATTTTTGCTAATATTTTTTTTAAGATTTCTGGAAAAAAAAAAAAAAAAAAAAAAAAAAAAATCACTGATTTACCTTTTATAACTTGGTCAGGCTGTGTACACAGGGGAGTTATAGGATTTGTACAATCATTATCATAATCTCCAGAGGCTCTAAAGTTATGAATTCCCTTCAAAGTCTAAGAGAGAGACAGAAGCATGATATTACCATAATTTTCAGAGATGACAGCTCTGTGTATAACTTTTAGTGGAAAGCAGTTGTTAGTTCAAAAAGAAGTAAGGAATTTTGTGGTTTTCCTGCAGTAGACTAAAAAGACTTTCTTAGAGAAGGGCAAGTAGTTAGCAAGGAAAGTCCATATTCAGTGCTTAATATTTATTACTGAACTTCAACACTACATTATACTTTTTTTTTTTTTAATTATATAGGGTGTGTCTACACACGCCCATTTAATGTGCATTAGCCCAATTTAAGGCACATTGAGGGAGCATATCTACACTTGTGCACCCTTAATGCACCTTAAAAATGGCAGACAAGGTTCTTTGGGTAAATCCGATATATTTTATTTTAGTTGGTCTAAGAAAATGTATCAGATTTATCCACAGAACCTTGTCTGCCTATGTCCTTAATTGTAAACACAATTACAAGCTGTGCCCCTTTAAAATGGCAATTTTAGGTTATTAGAGCCTAAATTGAATACTTGAGATATTAAATTTATGCACGAATAGCTAAGTCGCATTAGTGAACGTGTAGATACACTTATGGACATTATTGCGGTGTGCATCCATTGAGTTGGGACTAACTTGAGTCCCAAGTCGGTCCACACACTTGTGCTGACGTGCCTTAGCATGTGCTCATGTAGAGGTGTGCTTAAAATAGACTTTATAAGCATTAGGCTAATATGCATTAAGTTTAGGCACATGTAAAAGCACATGTGGACACACCCACTGTCTCATAAATAAGAAAGAGACGTTATAGTTCACTATGCCTCTACCAGAAACAGCACAACAGTCCCCAAAGCTGAGGCACCAGAGATAAACCAATATGTAACTCAATTTTAGTCTTATAATTGACAACAGGTGTTTGCTAAATTACTTACCCACTTATTCACAGAAGATTTGGTTGTTGCAACCCAAAGGGCTGGTGGAGGATCAGCTGATCTATCAAGTTCCATCTAAATAATTAGACCAGAAAACATTTTCACATACCAAGTTTAACTATGATCTCTTCAAAAATGTTTTGCTTTCTAGTATCTCCAGAAACAAAAACTGCTTATTAAAGACTTGCAAGATTCAATACAGTAGATAGTTAAGTTACAAGTTCTAATCCAGTAAGCGCTCAACTGCAATTTTTAGTCTTATTGTAAATCCCAGAGTAGCAACAAGTATATCACATCTCCAAAATGTCAGATGTCAGTATTTAAAGTGTAGCACCTGCAAATACTGAATTCTTAAAAAGTATATCAGCTGTTGGGCTCTCATTTTAAAATGTTTTAAATATTATAGTACTTAATATTTGACAGCAAAACCATCTTTAGAAGATTTAATTAAAACAGCTCAGTACTACTAAAAACATAGATTAATCTAACTTCTGAAAAAAATCCATCTCACTGCTACAGCAAAGAATCACTGTATTTAAAACTTCAGAGAGTATTTCCATTCCAACTATAGAGTGGTTACTATAATTTTATATTTTATTTTGAGTTGATATTTCCCAGGAGCTGTATTTAAAAAACAAAACAAGTGCTTAGGATACATTTTAAACATGCTAAGCCAGTAACATACATAGCTCAGAAAGACCAGGCTGTTCATGTATTTGGGCTATGTTAGCTGTAAACTGGAAGATAGTTTTAATATTCCTAATGTTTAACTGGTACACAGAAAGCAGTTGCAGACTATGACAAAAACAACACTTTCCACCTTGTTAATCTTATTCCCTTAAAAAAAAAGGGGGGGGTTAGAAGAGACTTTAAAAATGAGAAAACTCAAGAATAAAAGTGGTAAACATTAATTTTCCCCCCTATGGCCTTAGAAACACTGGTTTGATTCTTAAACATATAAAAGTAGGGATAATTAAATACTTTAAGTTAATTGACAGTAGAAGCTACATACACATTCTATTTACTCTAAGGTATTATTTTAATAGTTTAGATAAAAGACATGCATTGTTCATTTTTCTCCAGCCAAAGGCCTTCTGCACATGAATCTGAGGAGAAGGAAGTTATAGTATATTAAAGTATGCTTACAAATACTTGTATTATATAAAACACACGGGCTGCAAAACACCTGAAATATAACAAAGGCTGGAACTCCTTTGACTATTATAAGCAGATGGAATTCCATGTCAGATCATGCCAATTAGCCATAAGTATCTACAAAAAGATCAAGCTTGTAGCAAACATTTAAGTAAAACTAGATACCTTAAGAACTGGGGCTTTTTCTTCACAGATGAGCACACGGATATCAGGATTTCGTAGATCTGTACAATAAATCTTCCTGTCTCTTCCTCCTGAATAAACATGAGTGAAGGCTTCATTAACCTGCAGGGCCCAAACACCTTCATCATGGACTCGATATGTGGCTATACACCTCTGCTGCCCAAGGGACCACAGACGAATAGTTCCATCAGAACTGCCTGAAAGACACTGAGCAACAAGCATTGTTTTTAAACAAACTCCATCGGTATGCATCAAGAAAAGAACTTCTGTTTTGTTTTTAATGCTTTGAAATACTTAAGTATTTTTCCTTTAAGACAGTATTAAATAAATAATTACAGGGTCCAATTCTAGTAATATTTTGTTTTTTCTGTGACACGTTATGTCAAGGAGAGAGAATGAGATAACCCAATATTAATTTGTTTTGTGCCCGTCTTTCCAACCCCCTCAAGTAGCCAATTTAAGCTATATTTGTCCCCTTTTATTTTTAGAATAAGTCCTCAGCTACAGAGTTACAAATACAAATTTCTTTTAACAATATACTTATTGCAATTTCTTCGCTATGTCACAGATGTGTATTAAAAGTAATGGGATAAATATACTTTATGTATTTATAGTTTAACATTTTTAGGCTAGAACAGATTTTAAAGTAAATTACTTTTAAATTCTACAATCTATAAGGTCTGTAAGATGTGGAGAGAAAAAAAAATATTGAAAGATTAAGAATAACTGTTAAAGGAGCTGAGAAGTCTTCATTAAGGGTACTTATATTTCAAATATACATACCTGTGTGCCATCTCTATTCAACAACAATGCTTTTACGTTGTCTGTGTGCCCTTTAAGTTTCATTAGCTTTGCACAAGTCCTTGGATCCCAAACCCTTAAAACCTATAACAGACATAAAATAACTACACTGATTTCATTCTTTTCAGATATCTTGCTTACACATAGTGCAACTCTTGAAGAATCACCAAAGCATTTCTTCCACAAATTAAAAATAAGCATGTAAAGCACTTGATCAAGACAAAAGATTGAGTTACATTTTACATTTCAGGCAAGTCACAGGGGTCAGGAAGGAATTTCACCAACCTAAACGTTAAACTTGGCAACTACTTTTTTTTCCCCCCTCCTGTTCCTCTGAAGCATGAAAGATTAGCTCAGGCTAAGGATGGAATACTCAGGAAGGTGAGCTGGTGCTCTTAGGTGGTTGTGAGATCCCTCTCAGATGCCCTGTTCACATGCTCAGGGTCAATAAAGCACCAAATTTTGGAGTTGGAAAGGACATACTGGCAGGGAACTTGGGGAGTTTTGCCTCCCTCCAAAGAATGGGGTAGAATTCACTTCATGATATCAGCTGGACATCTTTCACTCAGTTTCACAGCACTGCAGGGACCTTGGTGTCATCCCTATTTAACAGCAGGGCAAATATTTCAAACTTAAAATGTGTGCTACCCAAAAGTTTCATATATGAGATTTGATCAAACTTAACAGCTTGCAATATACAAGAGGATTAAGCCAGATGATCTTAACAGTCTCTTCTGGCTTTAATTTTTATGCAGCTACAAAAACTATTCCTATATTTTGTTAAATTTGCACAAACACATGACACTTTCTAGTAAACATATTTAAAGCAGGCATTTGTACTTTCTTGGAATCACAAAACACATTCAGAACTAGTTTAAAATATAGCGTGCAAAGAAAAACAACAATAAGTTAATTAAGGCTAGGGGGGGGAAGGGGGGGAGTGTACCCAATTCTGCCTACCTTTTCAGTGGACCCTGATACAATTACTGTTCCCATCTGATTCATTGCAAGACTGTAGATAGAGTCTTTGTTCCCACTCAGGGAAGAAGCTATCACAAAATAAAATAACTATCAATATTACTTCATTCACTTGTCCATTTGATAGGATAATTACTATAATATTTTCATGTGTGCAGTAAAAACCCAAAGCAAGTTTTGATTCAATACAATCATCCTATATGAAAGGAACAGCCCCTACCTGAGCAAACAGGATTGCTTCCAATAGAGGAAAAATTAGGTACCACATTGCCAGTGGAAAAAGGAAACAACTTTTCAATTTCTAATGTGTAGTTCTGTAAGAAGCAAATGTCTACTCAGAGGCATATCAATCTACCATCCTTTACACTTATAGCCAATTAAAAAATTTTAACAACTGACAAAAGCACAGAGAAGGCAGTGACAGACCTGAAAGCAGGCTTACTGAAAAACACATAGTAGATATTTCTACCAACTATGTAAATTCCTAAACAGGTTGCTAAACCAACTGCTTGCAACACAATAGCATATTCTCTTGTTTGGCTTAGATTCAGCATCCTCAGTCACCCAGCATTATCATGTGAAGCTTAAACTGTTGGGCTAAGCCTTTGTTTCTTATAGTGAAGATGAGGTATTCTGGACTCGTTATTTAGAAGCCAGTGCAAGATCTCCAAAGAGGGCCATATTTCTCTCATCCTTTTTGAAGATTATATTAGTCTAAAGCTTGGCGGGCTTGACAAGATAAGGAGAGCTGCTACATACTTGCAGTAGCTATTTTTTCACATTGATATTAAAAGTGTTAATTTCCTTCCAGTTAGTCCAATATCACTATTACAATTTAATATGCTCATCTTGACCAAAACTACACAAAAGCCTTAAATGTTTCCTTATGAACCAATCATCAAATGTCTCCAACCATCTTTCCCAGTCACCACCTACTACAAGATAATATACCCATAAATTATCAAAAAGAACAGGAAACAAAAGAACTCTTAACCATTTTGATATCACCAGGCTTTCAGGGAGGATTGGTGAGAAAGCCAACAAAAGCAGTCTGAGGAAATCAACAAAATATCCACTCCAAGTGAGTGCTAGAGTTGCATCTGTTTCTTAAAAGATGAAGAATGCATACACCTGAAAAACTACTGATGCTGCTATACTACATCTATTCCAAGCACACACACACACACACACACACACACACACACACACACTTTAAAACAAGGCTGACTGAAAAATCCACTCACCAGGGATGAGCAGGAAGATCTTTAACAAGGACCTAAATCAAATTTCTGCATTTTTAAACTGTTTCTATCCCCCATGATTGATACAACAACTTTCCTATATGAACTGAATGCAAGCCAAGGTGACATGGACTTTGATTGCATATCAGTAACTTCAGTGCCTCTGTTACAGCTTTATCAAGCAAGAGCACAACAGTAAAATTAACAAGATTTACCCTGTTGTTATTCAAAACCTAGAGCTGTGAGCGCAATAATTCAGACACTGGATGGGAAAGCAAAGGCGAAACAGTTTAATTTTTTTTGTGAGGCTGTACTGTATACACTGTTACATCAGAGATTCCTACTAAACAGAACCTGATATTAAAAAGATTCTCCCAAGAAGGGTGTGTTAACCATGCTTTTCCCTGCAGCTTTCTTTACACCATGGCAATACTACAGACCTCACTCAAGTCCACTGTTACCTGGCACCTGCTCCCAACTTTGATATCTATATCTGTTCACTAGCTTTAGTTCTTCTAACAAATACATACCTGCTTTGAAGCCGAATTGTATTTTTGTGGTGTCAGTGTAAAACTCACAAGACAGGAACTACAGTATACAAAAAATTCACTAATATCTTAAGGGGAAAAGATGTTAGTTGAGGAGCCAACACCTTTTGCAGTTAAAGCTCTAGCAAGTCTAGATGAAACAGACTCATTACACTGAAGGTGATAACGTTCAAAGAGATTTGCCCTCCTTTCTAGATTCCACAATTATTAGTTGATATTGTCAGCTATTATACGCTTCAATGGAGACCAAGGAATACTTTTAGTAATGACAATTACTTGTGTATTTTTATTTACATGCAAAAACTGGCATCTGCTATCCTAAAATGACCTAACTGAAATGTTAATTGATGCATTGCATTTTAATATTTTCTATGTACCTACTTGTGACAGTGTTGTTTGAGGCAGTCAGTGCTGTTAGAGTATTTACGTCCCAGAGAAATATTTGTCTGTCCAGCCCGGCAGATGCTACCAGTTCTTTATCTTTTGCATATGCTAAGGCTTTCACATAATCCTACAACAAAATGGGCACAGCAACATGACAAGGAACAGGCAAACACCGTTAGTATGAAGTCCGCATCTTAATGTTTAAACAATTGCTTTTAGAATAACAACGATCATTTATACTAATCATAATTAATGTTTTTTTACCTTGTGTGTCCTAAGTGTTGACATACAAAATCCCTTGTGTGCATTCCACACTTTAACAGTAGTATCAGAAGATGCAGATATCACTACAGAAAAAGAACAAAGAAATGTATAATTATTACAGAAAATGTGAAGTTAATATTCTTTGTTTCTGTTAAAGATGAGGGTAAATACAACTTTTTTAAATGTCCATTAAAAATCTGTTGCAACTTTGGAAACATAAGCAAATAATACAGAGACTTTTAAAAACAGAATTAGAAAACAAGGAAAATGGTATTCAAGCTGGAGCAATTAAAGCGAGAGTTACATCAGACACACTATTTCTAAATGCCACATTTTTCCATTTCATACATTTAAATATGGTACCAAGTAAAAAACTACTTACATGTTTTACCATTGCAACAGAGTACAATATCGTTTACCCAATCTGTGTGATGTTCCATAGATGCTATATAAGGATCTTGCTGAAATTAAAAAATAAATTTGTATGAGGTCCCTTCAATATTTGAAAAGACTAACTCAGTTCTTGGATCCATTTGTGACACTCCTACTTCTGTATGATCACTAGTTACTTCACATAGTCCTACTGAAGTCAAAACTATACATACGCAACTATCAAGCAATGTGGGAAAGGAGTCACAATCTGGCCTTTAAGAGAACACCTAAAAATGTAAAACACTTATGTGGAATAGAAGCTACATTAGACTTGGTCTCAAACACACTAACACCAGCTTATAGTATTTGTTTTTGCAGGCATAAGACACAGGCATAAAGCACCAATTAACCAAACGCAGTGTTCCCAAACAAAGGATTCTGCAATTTATAATCTAGTAAGGTTTGAGCTTGGAAGATAAGACCCAAAAAAGGACAAATAACAGTCAAGTAAAATACCACCACCTGCCTTGGGGGAAAAAAAAAAGAGAAAAACCATAAGGAAATGAACAGGAAAAGAGAGAAGTGGATGATAGTATATTTACAATGTAAAAAAAGTGTAATAAGTCAGGCTTAACAGTGGTAAACCATTAAATACGTTCCAGATGCTCCAAGAAGTACATTAACAACAAACCAATTGCTGATACAATCTGTGAGTCATTCAAACCCACAGTATTTGTTATCCACTCTTTTTGTCCTTTCAAGTTGGACTATAAATTCTTACAAGTACAGACCATGACTTGCCTGCAAAGAGCCATGCACTTTTTGTTACAGCATAAATATTAAGGTCAGCTACAAACCCTTAGCAAGGTAACCAAGATTCACTACTTCAACCACAGATGCCTGAGCTGGTTATGAGTGTGTTAATGTAAAAAAACTTCTTTATTAAGAAAAGAGAGAGAAAGAAAGGAAAGAATGAGGAATATTCTCCCGACTTACCTTGTGCTGATTGACGCTCCATATCCTTATAATAGAGTCTCGGCCTGCTGTGAAGAGTCTGTTTAATGCTGGATCAAGCTGGAGTGCATTCACCCCATTTCGATTGTACTTCTCCACCTCATCTCTAATCACATAGGAGACCTGAAATACATTTATACAAATCTGATTATAGTATTAAGATTTTTGGTCTTCACAAAAAAAAAAAAAAAAAAAAAAAAAAAAAAAAAAAAAAAAAAAAAAGCAGCTTTGGGAACTATTTCATTTTTCAATTTTCTACTTAAAAGGTCTCAAAGATCTTTACAAGCATTAAAGAATTTAGTCTCAACTCCCCTGCCATTGCAACAAGCCTCATTCCCAACTTACAGGAAGAATAACTGAGGTCTACAGAGGATAAGAGATTTGCACATCATCACGAATGATTATCGAAGACCTCAGAACAAAACCAAAAGAATGGTCCAGTGACTACAGAACTTGCCCAGACCATGGGAGACCTGGAGTTAATTCCATATTGTCGCTAATAAACTGGGTGACCCTGTGCTATTCATTTAGGTTAAGTGACTCAGTTCTCCTGTTTCCCAAGAATAGAGGTATGCGCATTAAAATCTCTGAAGCCCTCAGGTGATGGAGATCATAATTACTCAGGCCATAAGTAGTGAGAATTCATATCTCCTTATTAGTACTTTGTTTCAACCAGGATATCATTTGAAAACTATTGTTTTTTGGAAAAAAAAATTATACCTGCTAATGCTACAAGGAAATCATAAAAATCACTATGCCTAGAAAACTAGAGAAAGGTATTTTTTCCATGACCAATAAACAAAGTGGTCTTGAACCACAGATCAGAAAAAAATGTTCATTCCCTGTATTGCAATGGCTTCAAGACACCATCTATCCTGATGACAGGTTCAGTGTATAAAGTTGCATATCTAGTAAAGATAATTAGCGCCAAATTCTTAAGTGGGAGAATCCTGGGTGAAACAAGGGAAAGTGGGGAGGATCTTAACTAGAGTCTCTTTCCCCTCCTCCCAGCAGTAAAGGCGAGGTACTGTTTGTAAGGAAAACCTCACATCCTGACCCCTAGTACAAAAACACTGCCATTGCTCTACAGGACAGGATTAGAGCATGAATACTCAGAACCGCTCGTCCCTTGTTCTCCTCAACAACAACCATGCTTCTCTACCGCTTTCCTAAATCTCTTCCTTACACTTTCTACTTGCCCTAAACACTTCAAAACCCTCTCCTGCCCACCCAATACTCATGTTTACCAGCTGCCCTCTCCTTCTCAGTTTCCACTCTTTGCACCCTGATGCTCAATACATGCCAGTTCTCCCTCCCAAGCAACCTATTCCCATTAACAGCAGCCTCTTTCCTATGGCTATCCAGGTCCCCATATCTATGCTGCTTGCCACAGTCCTTCTCATCCTCCTGAGACCTGGGCCCATCTTCTTACCCACATTTTCCACTGTCCTGCCATGTCCTGTTACTGTCGAAGTGATGTAGCCATGCCAGTCCAGAAAATATGCAAGAAGCAAGGATTTTTTCCTCAGTTATCTTTTACCAGATCAACTGCATGGTTGAAAGGACTTAGACAAGCTTTCAGACACCATAGTACCCTTCTGTAAGTCTTAGCAGTAATGAGGAGAAAAACCCTGTCTATCCCAACCAAGTAGTTGGTCCAATAAATAGATAATGGCCCACAAAAATCCTTACTTAGTCATCTGACGTTTATAACTATCTAATATATTCTATTAGCCATCTAATATATCGTTATAGTTCTGTCTCTTGTGACTCAAGTCAGCATATTAAAGCGTGAGATGTTGGGTACTGCAAATTGAGATGCAAAGTATATTGTTTGGGGGCAAGAGAGAGAGGAAAGTATGAGATGTTTCTATCAATATAGAAAACTATTATAATAGACAGGAGCTGTAACATTAAAAAACTGTATTTAGGTACACTTATTTCTGTAGTATAGATGAACACTGAGCTACTGCTCAGCAATGCTTGATCAATGTCTCTGCATTGTTAGGACCTGCGCCAAACTGGATGAGCAAAAGAACGTGCTACAAAAATAAAAACTTAAATCTGCCATAACATTACAAAGCACTAACAAGCAAAACATGTTTTTTAAAATATTCCGATTCAGCCAAAGAAAACATGCAACCTTTCTTAAAAACTAGGGCAAGCATAATTCACACAGCTAGTTACAAGGTACTAGGCACTGCTAGATCAAACCAGATGAGAACAATCACTGGGGAGAAAGTCTCTTCCTGTGGCATACTGCCATAGCGAAGATCAGCAGAGACACCCAAGCCGCAGCTCCCTGGATAAGTGAGAAAGCTGCTGGCAGGATGTTTTTTTGTGATGTGTCCTTCATTTCCAAGCTTGCTACATCTCGCTGTATGGCTCAGCCAGTGCCCAGATTTGTTAGTCTTTCAAGTCCACTGCAAATCTGCCATTTTCTCCCATGTCTTCCCTAAAGCTGTGAAAGAGGGCAGAGCCAATATAGAGATGTTTCTAAGCAGTCTTTTGCTTATCGTAATATTCTGATTTTTAACTTTAGGACAGGTACCAAAAAACCCCAGAGGGTCAATAATTGTAGTTTAAAAATTAAAATGAGTAAATAAATGACCTCTCTCCATAGAAAGATTTAAAATTTTGGGTGGGAAAAAAAGAAAATTGGTTGTTTTTAAATAGAACTGATACTAAATCGGCACTTGACCGATTTAGACTAGACATAGGGAAAAACTTCTTTACAGTCCGAGCGTCCACCATTAATGGGGGGTCTGGAAAAGACTCCCTGTCACTGCTGGTGCAAGCACCTACTCTGGACTCATTCAAAATGGTGTTTGGATGCTTATCTTGTGAGGGCCATTTGACCCCAGCAAACTTCCTGCCTACAGCAGGGGGGCAGGACTCAATCTTGTGAGGTCCCTTCCAGCCCCTAATGTCTATGAATTTTGTAAGTCAAGTACAGAAGGGTACATATTTCTGTATGTTTTCCATTCGGGCCCACATAACAGATGCTAAACTACTTTCCAGTATAACAGATAAAGCAATTGCTGTCCATTAAGCTAATTTTTAGCTGGTCCAATTGATAGCAAAAACTCCCATAAAGGTAGGCATTGCTATTGCCAGTAAAGTTTATTCAGTTTCTGTTTGAAAAAAAGATATATCAGCAAGCAAATGTTTATGATGTCAATGTAAGCCTTTTGCCAGCTCAATATACTATTTAAGTGCAAACTCACGGGGGGATGGGGAGCGGTAGCAGCCTCAGAATCGATGAGAGCCCCTCATTTTCAAGGCTTCTAATGAAAACCCTTTGACAGCTGCTTCTCCTTTATTGCTTCTCATACAATTCGTGAAATACAACTGATTACAAAGTAGACGGTTACAATTAAGATGCTGTTAGCCAGAGCACAATTAAGTTACAAATTAGACAGCCAGGCTAAAACATGCTATGCACTAAAGCAGTTTATGCACTTAAATAATGATTATCTGCATAAGGGCTATTACAATGTAAGCAACAGGCACCAAATTGAGACTAGCATTGTGTTATGCAATTAAGTTAATTATGCACTTATTTGATATATAACCTTAGTGGAGCAGGCTGCATACAAATGTTAGTATAACACCCTTCCCAACACCACTATAATTGCAATGGAGACCTGGCCTTGACAGTAATTTCCACATGTGGATTTAGTTTAACACCACGGAAGCCTAGGGGAGTATTATTCCCGTTTCACAGAAAAGAACATGTAAGTGAAGAGGAAAATGATTTGCTTGGGGTAAAAAAAAGAAACAAACAAAAAACCCCAAAACCAAAACAACAACAAAACTATAGTAGATCTTGGGAAAAGAATCCAAATCCTCTGGTCACTAGTTCAGCACTTAACTACAAGATGATCTTTTCACCTAACAAAGGGGAAATTAGAAAAGGAATTCTGTGGCACCAAATACATTTAAGAAATAAAGAATATGCATCTAAAGAGTAAAATTAAGGTTTAAAACAATAATTGGTTGCAATTTCATTTTTATTTTTTTTTTTAAGAGAAAAGGCAAAATATTCATCAGCACCTTGTCAGAAATGAGTTACTTGTGACCGTCGCCAACAAGTAGTTCTACTACTGTTGCCAAGATCAAGAGAGATTACAAATTTCATGCTCCTGCAATATTAGAGCATAGGATTTCAAGCAGTTGTTCCCATCTTGCAGATGAGATCTGTACAGTGTTTATAATTATGAAGCATACTGAATACATTTTCACTTAAAATAGGTTATGACAGTTTCCTATCAGAACCACGTCTGGGCCACGTCCCTTTCTGCAGCCAACCCGCGCCATTGTGGGTGCTGGGAGCTCCGTCCCTTGACTCCTCGGGGCAGCAGCAGCGGGGCGGCTCTGGGCTGTGGGGGTGTAGCTGTGTCCCCGTCAGGACAGGGGCAGACGTGGCTCTTGGGGTAAATCTGGTATCTTTGATGAGGCCACAGGAAACTGATAGGAAGAGAAAGTTATGTTCCCAGATATAAATGAATGCTTAATATTTTTCCCTTCTGACACTTCTTGTACTACATAATTATCTTTCGTAAAAAGCCATAGTTAAGAGAGGGGAGGAAGGGAAGAAGCAACAAAGAAGATAAAGAAAATGTCTGTGTGTTGGATAAGTTTACTTGAGATACTTCAAGCGAACACCATTTCTATTACTAAGAAAACTAGGTAAGCCAGGGGCTTGCAAATAGCATGAACTAATTCTTAATGGACAAAGTATGTCACAAACATCTCTCTTCTTATTCCCAACTATGGACTCTACATACAGATTGGAGACCTAATAACTTTCCTGTGATAAGCATGAAAACTACTTATACGGAAAGTATTTAACATGTTGTTTTTAGCTTCTTGTTATGCAAAGACCAATGCCAAGATCCTGTAAATGATAAGTAGGTGCTTCATAAGCCATAATAGTGGAAACATCAAATCAAGGACTAATATAGACATAAAGCCATGCTGAAGATCTTGCTCAAGAAACATGACGCCAAAAGATACTTCATCAGAATCTATTTGTTGGATGTCACATGAAATGTTTTATGAGAACAGCAAGCCAGAAGCAAACAGAAATCATTTACCACAAACTGCACGGTCAAAAGACACAAAGGGAGAGGAAAGAAGAGTGGTTTGTATGAAATCTCTGCTAAGGAGGGTGCATGAGAAACAAGCCCATAAGTAAAAGCATCTTAAAATTGAAGAAGTGAAGGGGTGGGGGCAGAAATCAATGTAGAAGATAATGGAAATCATTCAAAAAACCACATGCAGGTTTCCCTCGCTTTATGTTGTACACGCGTTCCTGGAAAACAGCGCACAGCTTGAATTCGCACAATGGGAACCCACTTTACAACGCAACAACTAGGGATACGATCCAAGACCTCCCATGTGCTGACCCCCCAGACCCACTCCTACCACTTCCACAAGACAATTTGGGTACTCGCCAACAGCAAACAAACCACGCACACAAGCACGGGGGGTGGCGCATGTTACCATAACGGAGACGGCAACCACAGAAACACGTGCTGCGGACGACGAGTGAGGAGCACTGATCCGATCCGATCCAATCCACACGGGAGACTGTATTTCGGTGCGCGTCACTCCCGCCACGCGAAGCAGCGCGCCGCGAGCTTCCCCGCACCGATCGCGAAACAGCGGATTGACCTCGCGTAGAGCAAAGTTTCGGTATAAAAATGGGTCCTCGCCCAGTAGTGAATCCGCGCTGACGAAACCCACGCAAGACTTCGAGTCCAGTGCGACGAGGCTGCACGAGCACCCTAAGGGGAAGGACGCTGCCAACCCAGGACTTTCCGCTGCCCGGTGAGAGACGGTCACTGTGTCTGCCCCACCCCGCTACAGACACACGCGCACACCACGGACTGTGCAACCGAGCAGGCTTCGCGCCGTTATCGCCCCGGCGGCCACGAGCCGCAGGCAGCCGGTGGCACCGGCGAGGCCGGGGCTGGGGGGGGGGGCAGGGCGACGGTTGGCGACGGTTGGGGGAAGCGCTCTCCCCCTCCTCCCCCACAACAGCTCAGAGCCCCCTGGCCCAGCCCCGCCCCGCCAGCCCCCGCCTCACCTGCACTTTCCGCCGCCCCGCTGTGTTCTGTCGGTGATGCGCCGCCATCTTGCATGTTGACACTCTGAGGTCATTTCCGAGCAGGACCCGGAAGTTCCGCCCCCCCCTTCTTCCTTCACCCCCCGCCGTTCGCCGTTGCTAGGGCAGCGGCGCGGGAGGGGCGGGACCG